TCCCCCCCCCCCCCCCCCCCCACAATGTGAAACGTAGGGATGCGAGGTCAAGGATCTAACGATGAAGTACGACTTTCGTTGACATGGGTACACACTACACGCACGCGCGCACCGTTTTGTTGTCCCCGTTGAACGAAAGGCTACTATCGTCCTTGCCATTTTTGTCACGCCTGTTGGCGAGGTCGATTCGAATTGAAGAAACGCGCACGCTGTCGAGAGGGGCCGCGCGGACTAGACAACAGCGAATTAATTTCGCGTTTTTCGGTTTGTCCCGCCTCAAGAATCATCAGCTGTTGTTAATTTGATTGGTCGGCCGGTTGGTGAGGCCAATGCCAGTTAAAGGAACATACACAAACCAACCAATTTTTTTTTCCTGACCCCATCTCTTGTTGCTTTCCGGTTTTCCGAGTTTTTTTTTTTTTTGTCCAGTGATTGTTGGTTTCGTACAGGCGCATATGCTTGCTATCGTTTAATGCAAGTGTTTTTGTGACACCAAGCTTTCGAACTGCTGACAGAAGTTTTCCTCCCTCACAACAATCATTTTTGTCCGGTTTTTACAGGTGTTCCACACGTACGACTACAGGTACCAGGACGGCTACAGCCGGCAGCGTGTGGCGGCGATGTACCTGCCCCTTATCCACCACATCGCGGCGAAGGTGTGTAATCAACCAACCCCCGAAGAACCAATCGGGCCCGTGCCTTGCGGTCCGCAGAATAAAAAAAAACGTGGCTGCAGCAGCAGTAGATATCTTCTTTTCTAAAAGTTCCATAGTGTGGAAACCAGCATGTTAGAAGTGTCTTCCTAATGGTAAATAGTGACGGCACGTACAACCAGTAGGGACCCGCAGCCCTTACGAACGATGTTCTCGGGGTCTGAAGATGTTTGCAAGGAAAGATTCTCCGGCTCTCCGCCTGCTGTGACTAGCCGGAGGATGAAAGGGTGCCCCAGAGGCTCACTGTCACAGTTGATATTTCTTAGAACCTAGCAAGGCCAACCATTTGATCATAAGGTGTCGAAGTTGGGACGCGGTGGGTCCCAGAGAATGCTGTGAGCGCTGATGTAATGTGATGGACGAAGCAATTGTTTTCTTGGCATGTATGCATCATTTGATCGTCAGGTGTCGAAGGTGGGACGCGATGGATCGCAGAGAATGCTGTGAGCGCTGATCTGATGTAAAGTGACCCTAACAAAAAACAAATGTTGGCATATGTGCATATGGATCATCAGGTGTCGAAGCTGGACGCGATGGATCCCAGAGAACCGGAGAGACGCGAGATGCTGGCGACGCTGCTGTACGTGCTGCAAGACGCGCCAGAGGCCCTTCTCCGGGAGATGTGGAAGGACGTACGTAACACCTGCACACCACAGCAGGCGGCGTGTTTGGGCGTTGGCCATGGGCCCTTTTACCTTAGTTTTGTTCTCCATAGCTCGGTCACGTCTGTCGTTGTCGACATGGTTGTTGTCGTTTTGGTTGGGTGCTTGTGACCGCTGTGAGCGTCGTTGTTGTGCATGTTTATATGTATCAGCCACTGCTCGGACTCAGGCAGCACCCAACATGCACAACAACGACGCTCACAGCAGTCACAAAACAGCAGTGCCTCTCGATCCCCTCCCCTCCGCGGTGGAACATGACGTGATTTGAGTTTTTTTTTTCTTATTTGTTTGCTCGTCACCCCATCTGCTTCCCGTTGCTCCCAGCATGTACTCTGTCCGGCATCGGACAATCCAGATCCTCTTCTCTCCTCTCACCACTCGTCCCCCCTCCCCCCCCCCCTTAAAAAAAAAATGCAGGTTGGCATTCGGTTCTTCCGCATGTTCGGGCGGAAGGCGAACGCCGGCGGCAGCGGCAGCTCCAACGGGACCGGCACGCCGTCCCCCGCGGCCCGCCGGGGGTCCTTCAGCTTCTCGTCCGGCACGGGCACAGCGGGCACCTTCTCGTCGGAGTCGCTCGCTTCCGCGTCCCCTTACAGCAACACGCACACGCCGGGAAACCGCACGGTGAGAATCTCATGATTTTTTTTTGTTGTTCTTGCTAATGTATGTAGGAATGACACATACGTGTGGTGCGAGCGCTGGTTGAAAGAGTAAAGAAAATATGTATGGACACAATATCTCACCTCACCTCCAGAGTGGGTTAAGTGCGCGCTTGAGTACAGGGAGCGATGCAAGAGGAATGCAAACAGAGTCGTCTGAGTACAGTAGTAATGATGACAAAGACGTGATAACGTGCAGTTGCACATGCACATACTGTAGAAGAGAGAGGCAAACAGCAGGTGGTAACCATGATTCTGTGCGCATGACCAAAAAGAAGAAGTCATTTAAAGTCGCGAGCCGATGCTCACGTCTCTTTTTAGGGCCTTGGCCGCGATGGCAGAGTCGTCCGTGCCGGCGACCTTGTCGGAAAGGCGCAGTTCCTCAGGTGCAGGTTGTGGTGGAGAGGCAGCAGCAACGAACGGCATACGAACAAACGAATCGGTCCATGGTTATTTGCAATGTGGTATGCATAGTAAACACGCTGGTCTTGTTGTTGCAATGATTCTATGGTTAGTTTTGTCCATCTCAAACTTGGAATCATAACACAAATGAAAAAATTAGACGCAGTGCTGACCTTACGGGCAAAAATACGCAAGAACGCACGCAGATAAACAAGCACTTTGGGCGGCGAGGAGGTTACTGATTTGAACGGACGTCATGGCAAGCTGATGGAACCCAGAACACAGCAGCAGACTTCGGGGTAAACCTGCCGAAGCTGTGAGAATATCCAGACGGACTTTCGGAAAAGAGGCCAAAAAACTTTGTTTTCTCCTTCTTTACGGTCAATGAAACCATGACGAACACAGCAATGCTTTCGGTGGTAACGCTGTGTGGTCATTTTCCTCGGAAGGGAGCAGCAGACACGGGGGCTGGTATGTGGACTGTGTAGCTCTACGTGATGAACCATCCATGGGTAAAAAGCATGACGGTGGTGTCCGGCGCAAAAAAAGATCGGAACACCAGCAAGCAGCAGTTTACAAACGACGAACGAAGCAAACGGATGACGTCGCCGTACGCGTGCCACGACTGCTCCCTCTCCGAACCGCAACGCTTCCAACCTTCTCACGCCTGAGAAAAGGGGGGAAGAGCGCATCATCGGGTTCTTCCGTTTCGGGAAGACGGCCGCCGTGTCGGAGCGCGCTTCGCCCGATGATACGCTCTTCCCCCTTTTCTCAGGCGTGAGAAGGTTGGAAGCGTTGCGGTTCGGAGATGAACAAGCGGAACCCGTAACCCCGGCACCACCAGCAGCAGAGGAACCACCACCGGTGGCTCTTTGTTGTGTCCTCTTCTTTTTTTTTGGTTGGCATGCTTTTCAGGAAGCAGCAGTCTCAAATGCGCGAGTGTGGAATGGGGGGGGGAGGGCGCGCCCTCCCACAGGAGACAGACAGAACAGCGGCAGCAGCTTGTTTTGTTGTACAAAATAGAGCCTTCCCTGCGCTTCTCTGGGTTCGTTCCTTCGTCTCTTGTGTTGATTTCTGCTTTGAAGGGATTCGACAGGATCTGTTTTACGTGGTCAAGGTCCTCTTCGCTGTTGTACTTAAGCGCTATCGTCCTGCAAGGAACATGATAAAATACTCTCAGAGTCGAAATACAGCTATAATGCCGCAGAGAATATGAAAGGCTGCTGCAGAGACAAGGAAAGACTACCAGAGACCTGGAAACAGAAGGCGAAATAACACCCGAACAGTTCCCTCTGCTAACGACCAGCCAACGCAAGTGTATAAGCGTTCTTACAGCACAACGAAGAAATCAGTTCTGTCCACAGCCCCTTACGCCAGCAGAACGGTATAGATCATGTTTTTTGTCGTTGCATGCGGAGTGGTACAGCACGACGACTTCCATCTCTGTCCACAGCCGCTTACGCCTGCAGAACGGTGAGATCATGTGTTTCGTTGTTGCATGCGGAGTGGTATAGCACGATGACTTCCATCTCTGTCCGCAGCCCCTTCGCCAGCAGCGACACGCACACGCCAGGCACACTAAACACTAAACACTATAATAGACACACTAGACACTAGCCGTGTTTCTATCATACGAGTCCCCAGAGCAGCATGCAGCGATGTCTACCCCTGTGGGTAACACCTTATTCTTGCGCTTCTTTCCTTCTGGCTCTTGATTGGTCTACCAGAGAGGGAAGGAGGCGGGTGCTCGTCGTGGTTTGACTCTTTTTTGTTTTTGACGTGTGCTCGTGTTGGTTAACCTGTTGTGTTTTTGGCGTACGCTATTTTTATGCAAGAAAAGGGTAATCGATCACAGGTTTAGCATCTACCCGACCTTGTCTCTCGCTCTCGCTCTCGCTGTCTTCACACTCCTCCCTGCAGGTCTACTCGCCGTTCAGCAGCGGAGGGGGGGCGACGCGCTTCGGCCCCGGAGGGGGAGGTACCGCCGGCATCGGGGGCTCTGTGAGAGTCGGCTTCCCGTCGGCCGGCACCGGTAGCTATAGGATGGGGGGACTGGGGTTGGGGCTCGGGAGGGCGGCGGCGGCGGATCGGACGCTGGCGGGCGCTCACGCGCTGGCGCCGCTACCGCAGGAGGTTCAAGGCGCCGGGGTGGGGTACCTCATCATCGATGAGTTCCAGGTGGGTTTTTTTGAGGCACTGTAGTCTACGCAGGTTTCTTGTTGCGGACATATTGGATAGGGTGTTGGGTCGGCCAAGTTGGGGTTTTGTCCTGGCTGGTCTTTTTGTTGTAATTAGGTTTTGGTAGGCAGCTCTTTTGAGAGGACGTGGAGACTATTTTGCGTTGGTGATACATGGCTGGGTTGGCGTCAAGGAGATGGACACTGTAGTATTGGCTTTTGGTGAGGTATACTGCGGTCGTTGTGGTCGTCGTTTTTTAGATTTCTCGTGATCGTGACCGATGGGTGTCAGGTGGGTTTTTGTCGATGTTGTGATGACGTGGGTGTGGTCGTGGTGTTGATTAGTAATGGGAGGGGGGAGGGGAGGGTGAGGGACGAGGATCTCGCCCAAACGTCGAACACGCCACCTTACACACCCGCGGCAAAAAAAACGCCTTGCAGGTGTTCCGAATACTTGGGCTGCTAGAGCTGTGCATCGACACGTTCGAGTACCCCGGCCACGTCGACAAGGAAGGTAAGCCGACTATCTCTGTTCGCTGGTTCCCTGGTGCTTCTTAGGTGCATTGCTTCTGCTCCTGCTGCTGCTGCTGCTGCTGCTGCTGCTGCTGCTGCTGCTGCTGCTATTGCTGCTATTGCTGCTGCTATTGCTGCTATTGCTGCTGCTATTGTTACTGATTTTTGCTGTCTCATGATGTAGTATTTCGTTTCTCGCTCTTGCGCTGCTGTTGCTGTTACTGCTATATCCTCGATGAAAATGATGCTTGATTGTAGCGTAGGTGGGTGCCTTGGTTCCGCGTGGCCGTTTCTTGTGGGAATGTTGAGTATCGCCTATAGGCGTGTGCGTCCCCCGTCATAGCCACACTGCCCGTGCTGGCGATACGGTAGAGTAACTAGCCCCTTTTTGCAGCGGCGGCAGTAGCAGCAGCTGCGGCAGCTGTTCCAACGGCAAGAAAGCTTACCATGTTCCTGTTACAGTGGGGGGCCCGGTTTAGCAACCCCAGGTGTCACAACGAAATATGGCCACTATTCAGGGCGGGTCGCTATACCGAACTACCAATTATATAGCAGTTATACTACCGGGGTGCGGCGGTGCCACGTGATCTTGTGGTCGCCAAACAGGGGATGTCGTGTCGCTAAACAGGGGGTCGCGAAACTGAGACCCCAACTGTAGTTAGATTCGTTCTTGTCGGATTGTACCTCCTCCGTACGTCCGGCATTTCTTTCTTGTACTTACCGTTTATGAACGGTCTCAAGAACTACCCGTGTCGTTTCATATTATTTCTGCCGCAATTCGCGACCGACCGCATCAGGAGGCGGCGGTGGAGGCAGCGGCGGAAGAGAATCGGAACCGTCGGTGCTGGTGTTCGGGGTAGAAAGCGTCGATACCAAGCTGCCTCCGGAGGAGCGCGCGAGGGCTAGCAAGTGGGTCAGTCACCAGGCCCAATCCATCGTCAGAAAGGCGACGTTGACCCTCATGGTGAGAGAGGAACGGGGGGTTGAACAACAAGGGTGGGTATGCATAGATGATTTTTTACGGGGGTTTATTCGAGAGCTTGAGTCAGAGGCACACGAGAAAAGGGGCGTCGTCTGTTGTGGAGATGCTTGTGTGTGGGGGGGGTGGAGGCTTTCTTCGAGACGGGGAGAGAGAGAGGGATTTCCATTTTTTTTATGAGGTTCAGCTAAAAACAATCATTTCTTTGTAACTATTTTCATTTGTTTACTATTGCCTCAGGCGGGAGTGATCCTCCAACAAATCCACGCACAAACATACCCCATCCCCACAACCTTTTTCCCAGGATGAGTGCGCTACTGAGGTCTTGGCGAGGGAAGAGATAAGACCAGCCCCCAAGCAGCTCGTGCGGAGAGTGCTCTCGTCATTGCTCCATGCTCTGAGCGTGCGACAGAGTGACGTGTGCCTGGTGAGATTGTTCGAGGGAGCCATCGATTTCCTGAGGAGATACGGCGCACGGGTCTTCGTTTCTTCCGTCGGGGATAGGATGCAGGTGTGTACCCCCCCGCCCCCCCCCATTCCCATCTTGTGCCTCGTAGGTACAAGTCGCGTTTTTTTCGTTCGCTCATTGGGTGGGGGTCGGTGTGTACATCGATTAGAGACGACGGCGGAGGAGCGAACAGGTGTTTGGCTTGTAGGGTATAATAGCCGACAGGGCTCAATTCCTGTTGATGTCCCAAACGAAACCAAGCAACCAATGAAATTAGGGTGAGAGTTGTGCTTTCTCTGCGCGTGGGTCTTTTGGGAACAAGGCTCCAAACGCGTCAAGCACCTCTTGCTAACACGGCCTCGCCCCCCGCTTTCTATCCCTTGTATCTCCCCTACCTCAATACACCTGGGTTGCTGCCCCGAGTAACATTCCAACCTTTCCCGATCTCCACCCCCCCCCCCCTCTCCCAAAACGCTTGGCGGAAACACACACACCCCAAGGCAGGACTGGGTCAAAAACACCCTGGTGCACTGCAACGCGCAACGCTACCCCCTTCCCACCGCCGGGCGTAACTTCCTGAAGTACCTCCTGAAAACTGCCTTCCACTACTACCGGTCCCTCGGGGTCGTGCGGAAACCTCTCATGGCCCTGTTTCAGGGGAAGAACAGGTATGCCCCCAAACCCCGTCTTTCTTCACCCCCCCCCCCCCCCTCTCTTCGCCGAAATAAAAAATT